TGCAAAATTGGTTTGAACTGCAAGGTCAGTGGTTCAAACTCACCAGCCACTCCTCAAAAACCCTATAAAGGGTCTCTATGAGTCAGAACTGACTCAATGGCACTTAATAACAAAAACATGATATTAATGATGCTGTTTTATAATTTATATATTCTGTTTTGTTATTTTTCTTTGGAACAGGCACACATATAGATTTCTTCTGATCAGTTGGCCAGTAATCTGTCTTTCAAAATTCTTGATATAGACAACTGAGAACCTTCACTTAGATGAAAGATTTCAGTATGTATTCAGTCAATGCCAGGAGTTTTGTTTTTACCAATGCCTTGAATGCAGCCTGGGATTCTTTCTTTAGGACCATCGGTTCTTGACCATATGCTATCTTTTGAAATGGTTGAATATCAACCAATACTTTTGGGTACAGTGATTCTTCCATCTCTTTTTCATGTTTCCGGTATCATTCAGTATTTTGTCCATTGCTATTGTTGTTAGGTGCCATCAAATTGGTGTCAACTCATAACGACCCTCTATTAGAAAAAACAACAAAACTACCCAGTTTTGTGCCATCCTCACAACTGTTGTTACATTTGAGACCATTGCTGCTGTCACACTGTGTCAATTAATACCTTTAGGGGACTTTTACTTTTCTACTGCCCCTCCATTTCACCAAGCATGATGTCCTCCTCCTGGGACTGCTCCCTCCTGATAACAAGCCCAAAGTCTGACAGAGGAAGGTTTTCCATCCTGGCTTCTAAGGAGCATTATCTGTACTTCTTCCAACACAGATTCGCTTATTCTTCTGGCAGTCCATCGCATTTTCAATATTTTTCTCCAACACAGTAACTCAAATTCATCAATTTTTCTATGGTCTTCTTTATTCATTGTCCAACTTTGACATGCATATGAGGCAATAGTAAAACCATGACTTGGTTCAGTTCACCTCAAACTGATACCTTTGCTTTTAAAAAATTTTAAATGTTCTTTAGCCACAGATTTGCTTAAAGCAATGCATCTGCCCTTTGGATTCTTGGGGTGTTTTTTTTTAAGGTTTCATTGTGAATTGAGTGATAGTTTGCTCCTTTTTTTTTACTGCTGCTTTCATAATGTTGATTGTGGATCTAAGCAAAATGTAGTCTTTGACAACTTTAATCTTCTCTCCATTTATCTTGGTTTTATTTATTGTTCTAATTGTGAGGACCATACTGAAAGCTGATCTTCATCGGTATTTTAAGTGTTTTTCTCTTTCAGCAAGCTTCATATGTTGTTAAGTGACAACGAGTGGGTTCCGACTCATAGTAACCTTGTATAGGGTTTCTGAGGAGTGGCTGGTGGATTTGAACCAACAACCTTGTGGCTCAAATTGATCTTGCGGTCCAGAGCATTATCCTGCAATGCCACCTCAGGATTTCTACTTCATATTGTTGTTTTTGTTAAGTGCAGTTGAGTCGGTTCTGACCCATCATCACATTGTATAGGATTTCCAAGGAGTGGCTGGTAAGCTTGAACCACTAACTTTCAGTTCAAATGACATTGGAGTCCAGTGCATTAACATATAGTGCCATACCAGGACTCCAGGGCATCTGCCTCCACGTTGGGGAGATGAACCACAGTCTGTCATGTGACAGGCGGGAATACTCAGCACTATACTAACAAGTGTGGCTGCTTCATATAACAGATTGTTAATAAGTCTTCCTTATTTATTGTACAACTTTCACATGCATATTAGGAAATTGAAATTACCATGGCTTGGGTCAAGCATACCTTAGTGCTTAAAGTGTCACCTTTGCCCTTCAACACTTTAAAGAGATCTTTTGGAGAGATTTGCCCACTACAATAACTCCTTTGATTTCTTGACAGAGTCTTGGTGTGGCGCTGTGGGTTAATGCACCAGACTGCAAAGCCGTTTGAACTGCAAGGTCTGCGATTCAAGCTCACCAGCTGCTCCTTGGAAACCCTATACAGGGTCGCTATGGGTCAAAATCAACTCAACCGCACTTAACAACAACAACTTCCATGAGCACTGATTATGGATACAGGCAAAATAATTTTTTTTACAACTTCAATCATTTCTTTGTTTATTCTGATGTTATTTAATTTGCCAGTAGTAAAGAGTTTCGTTTCTTTACATTGATGTGCAATCCATGATAAAGTCTCCATCCTTAAGTATTTCAAGTCCTTGGTCTTGCAAAATTCTATCATGGGATCTCCAGCATGATTTTTTACCAATACCATATTTTCCAACTACTGATCTTTTCTTTTTGTTTCCAATTTAGGTGGTCCTATTATAAGTAATTGGAGTCCTGGTGTGGCACTGTGGGCTAATGTGTCAGACTGCAAAGTCGTTTAAACCGCAAGGTCAGTGGTTCACACTCACCAGAGGCTCCTTGGAAACCCTATATAGGGTCACTATGGGTCGGAATTGACTCAACGGCATTTAACAACAGCAACAACAATTATAAGTAATTATCAATTCATTTTTTATCATTTTCAGACTGAGGAAGTTAGTCTAATTATTCAGCAGCAGCATCACTGAGATCAGTAACTTGGTGCATAAACTTGAACAATAGTGTTAACAGATCTTCTTTATAGGCATATAGATATTACTCTATCACAGACAACATTGTACTTCAAGATAGATCTTAAAATGCTTTTTTTGATGATGAATGGGACCCCATTCTTCTTTAGATTGTCATTCTCAGCATAGTAAACCATTTGACTGTTAGATTCAAAATGTGCAAAGCAATTACATTTCAATTCATTAATGCCTTGTTTAAGGAGCTCTGGTACCATAGTGGTTACGAATTGGGCTGCTAAACTCAAAGTCAGCAGTTTGAAACTACCAGCTGTTTCACTGGAGAAAGATGAGGCTTTCTGCTCCCCTAAAGATTTACAGCCTCGGGAACCCTATGCAGGATAGCTATGAGTTGGAATTGACTCTACAGCACACCACCACAACCACCAATGCCTTGTTTTATTTCATTTATGATGACTTCCAATTTTTCTCTAGTCATTCTTTGTACATTCAACAGTCCAATTATGTTTGCAGCTATTTCTTCTCATTTTGAAGATCCTGAAATCTTTACTCCATCCATGCCTTTAAGGTTAACTTTGCCTTGAGGTGGCAACTCTTCCCCAGTTGTATTTTGAGTGTCTTCCAACCAGAGGGGATCATCTTTTGTCACTATATCAGACAATGTATCACTGCTATTCATAAGACTTTCAGTAGTTAACCATTCAGAAGTGTTCTACCTCTCTTTCTGCTTAGTTTGTCTTATTCTGGAAGCTCTTCTGAAACCTTTCTATGATGGGTGCCCCTTCTGGTATTTAAAATACTGCTGGCATAGCTTCCAGCATCACAACTCATAAACCATCACAGTACAACAAACTGGCAAATGAGTAGTTCATTACGCTGCTCTAGATAATTTTGATATGATTTTTGTTGCTGTTGTTATGCACAACAGAATGAAACACTGCCCAGTCCTGCACCAACTTCATAATTGTTATTCTTAAACCCACTTCTGCTGCCACTGTGCCAACCCATCTTGTTAGTGGTTTTCCTCTTTTGTGCTGACTCTCCACTTTATCAAGCATGATGGCCTTTTCCAGAGACTGGTCCCTCCTGATATTATGTCCAAAGTATGAGAAAAAAAAATCTTGCCATAAAGTAATAATTCATTTTTCCTTAGATGAAATTTGAGTAGTGATACATCGAGTCCATTAATTAATTATATTAAATAATGCAGAAAATATTTATTAAGTGCAATGTATACCAAGAAGTCCTGATGTGGATCTGTTGGATAAGTACTGGACTGTTAACTACAAGGTCAGTAGTTCAAACCTACTAGCCACTCCTGGGGGTGGGGGTGGGACCCTATATAGGGTCATTAGGAGTCAGAACTAACTCTAAGGCACTTAACAACAATAACAACAACAGCAACAACATGTATCAAAACTGAGCTGTTAGCCTGAGAGACACTGTTCCTGTACTTTGAAGCATATAATGTAATAACACTAGGAGTCCAGGGGAGGGGACAAAAGTTTAAATGGTTACTAGCAGAAAAGTTGGCTATTTACTCAAACTTAGCCACAGGTACCTCCAAAGACAAGGCTTGTAACTTGCCTCCAAAGATCACAGCCTTGAAAACCCTGTGGAGCTGTTCTATACATATAAAAGCACCATGAGTTAGCAACTCTAAGGCATCTAACAACAACAACAAAAGTTATTTAGGACCCAGGAGCATTCTAGAGCACTGCAAAGAAATTCAATATTAAGTTATGTATTTTATACATATAAGTTACTATTTATGAATCTACTACTTTTTGAGAAATCATTGGAACTGCTACTTCATCATTTCTCAAAAACCACTGGGAAAACTTCCTAGCTAACCCCTCACCAAGCCAAACCAAACCAACTGCCATTGCAGTGATTTTGACTCAATGCAGGTTTTGAAATTAAATTCTTCACAGCAGCAGAAAGTACCATGTTTTTCCTACAGACAAATTGGTGGGTTTGAAATGCTGGCATTGCAGTTCAAAGTCCAATGTCCAACCCAGGACACCATCAGAATTCCTTTCAGCATTCCTAGATAACCACAGGTTGGCCTGAATTCGTATGCATGTGACATTGAAGTTATCATCAATTGATACCTTATTTATAACTCCTTTGGCCTTTATAGTCCACAATATACTCAAGGATGTTTCTATTATATTATACCTTGCTTGATTCATACTAAGAAAATTCAAGACTTAGGTAATAAGAAATACTAGATCATATTATCTAATGACTTTCAGTGAACATGCTAATTATAGTTTTGTTTGTTGTCTATACTTTCTCATTATATTGCAAACCTTGTAGAATAAGCATCTGGAACAATGTTTGGAGCTTCATAAGTACTTGCTGAACTAATGAATAAATGAATGAATGAATACCCCTACCATGGCTGCAAGGAAATGGGTCAGCCATTTTATCATATCACCTGTGCATTGCACACAAGTTAACATACCTGCTATAATATTGTCCAGAAGTGTGATGGGCATACAGAATATGCCAACTAGTAAATCACTTATTGCCAGGTTCAAGATGAAGAGATTAGTGACTGTGTGCATATGTTTGTTCTTCATTACAATGAAGCAGACCACTGTATTCCCCACCATACAAAGGAAGAAGATCAGAAAGTAAGAAATAATGAAGACTGCTGCCACTTGAGGCTGGTGAAGATAGTAATTGACATAGGTGATATTAACATCTGAATATAGATGATGGTTTGTGTCATAAACACTCCAGATATGAGTCCAGTTTTCTGAAGAGTTGGAGTCCCATATCTCACTCATGATGGACCTTAACAAAAGAGAAACAGAAAACAAAACTATAATTAGGAATCTTTAGAAAATAAGTTCTGTGCCCGCATTCAAGAGGGACAAGTTTTAAATGGCATGACGTTTTGATGGACAGTCTGTAATATCTGTGAGATTTGCAAAGAAGTGAGTTACATATAAGGAATGCAGATCACCAGGATTTTAGCCTAGAACATTTGAAAATTCAATTTCATATTATTACTTCAATACTCTACTTCACATCTTTGATCATATCCTCTACTCATTTGCAAAATTTCCTTCACTTTCCAAAATAATCTTTTGCCCTACCTCCTAACATCTTTATCTATTAGATGTACTTGTTATCTAAAACTAACTCACATGCATTTAGCTTTTTGAAACTCTGAGTAAGATGTCCACATCTTCCAAACACCCATACAAATAAGCTTCTTATATTTTCTTTATTCTATTTTTGACTAACTTATGATAATATTCTATTTTTATTGTTGTATTTTCATACATAGCCACAATATTGTTATTTCCTTAAAATAAGACATGTTTGGTGTTACACAGAACAATTCTATTCACATAGTATTTGTTCAATAAATACCTTTATTTTGAATTGATACTTGATGGCACCTAACCACAACAACAAAATGCAAGCATTTCAATCAACCATTATATTTTTATTGTACCAAAGATGACCCCCGGGTTTAAATGATTTACTAGAAGGACATATAGGATTCAGCATATCATTGTAGTGTGAATTAAAATTTATTTCAGCAAAAGAAAACATAACAAAGTCAGTTAATGGGAAAGAAACATAGGATAAAGTATGGGGAAAACTGGGTGCATGTGAGAAATGTTGTTGATATCGACAAATGCTCAAGTAATCCAATCTGTACTCATTTTAGCTAGAGTGAGGTTTTCTTTATTCGCTTTTGCAAAATTGGATGCACAACCCAGTACACAAGGGTAGACATGCCACATGGCTGACACACAAACAATTTTATTCCCATCTCAGAATTTCATTCCTGTCTCAGAAAAAGCCCCTCCTCCAGTTCCCCTCCCAAACATCTCACATACTAATCCATTTAAAGTTGGTTTCCCCTTCTCCCTATGAACTTCTCCTATTTCCTTGATGGGTGTATTTTTATCTTAAAGTTCCTAGTCCTAGAACAGATTTCTTTCTTCCCTTTCCCCTATTTATCCTGCTTACATATCCCTGGATATGAATTAACAGCCTATCTTGGGTCTGGAAATCTCATAAGCCTTTTTTTCCTGAAGATGGAATTGAGAATTTCTCACAATGGATGTTTTCAAAAGTACTCTCCCAGTGGAATTAAACAGGACAAGATTAAATATTTAAGCAATAACTTGTGACAACATATTTGAAGTGTTGTTTGTCCAGAAAGTTCAATAGAGATTCAATACCCAAGGACTAGGGATGTTTGTTGTAATATTGTTTGGGAGACTAAGGGCAAAATATTGATAGATGCAGTAACAAAAGAAGACAATTGTAGATCTCTTCAGTTCAAAACATAATGTGTTGCTTTCTGCTAAGCAAGAGACTAGTGGAGAAAAATCCAGACAGTTGAGAGATGCCCAGCAGGATGCAAGAGATAAAATGGAGGCTATTGAACACCAAGTTGAAGACCTGAAAACACAAAAATTTCAGCTATGCAAGAAAGAAATTTAGTACCGAATAACAAAAACAAATTAAGCAGAAGACTAAGTTGGAACTTAAAGCCAAGGATTTGCAAGATGAATTGGCAGGCAATAGTAAACAAAGGAAATGCTTATTAAAAAGAGAGGCAGAAGCTACTCACAAAGATATAAGAAAAGCAGAAAGAACTGGCAGGAACAGAACCAAAATCCAACAGTGTAAAAGAAAAAGAAGAGGGAGGCATTGCTAGATTAGCCCAAGCTAAGGAGTCCTGGTGTGGCACTGTGGGTTAATGCAC